GAATGTTTTTATTTGGTTGCTAAATACAATTTAACACGAGGAAGGCGGAGAGCCGCAGGATGAGATATGTAACAATATCAAGTGTACACATATGTAACTTTTATGGCAATCGCTACTTCAGATCAAATGCCATATTGGCGCGTGAAACTTTAGCGTGACATTTAATATATTGATATGTTTGTAATATTATACAGCGTCATTTCCCGACACCCGGCAAGAGAAGAGGTACTGTGCAGAGTCCAAACACACAGAATAAGAACAGATACCGAGAATGACACCCGGCATACAGGGCAAGAGAAGTGGTACTGTGCAGAGTCCATACATACAGAATAGGAACAGATACTGAGAATGACACCCGGCATACAGGGCAAGAGAAGTGGTACTGTGCAGAGTCCATACATACAGAATAGGAACAGATACTGAGAATGACACCCGGCATACAGGGCAAGAGAAGTGGTACTGTGCAGAGTCCATACATACAGAATAGGAACAGATACTGAGAATGACACCCGGCATACAGGGCAAGAGAAGTGGTACTGTGCAGAGTCCATACATACAGAATAGGAACAGATACTGAGAATGACACCCGGCATACAGGGCAAGAGAAGTGGTACTGTGCAGAGTCCATACATACAGAATAGGAACAGATACTGAGAATGACACCCGGCATACAGGGCAAGAGAAGTGGTACTGTGCAGAGTCCATACATACAGAATAGGAACAGATACTGAGAATGACACCCGGCATACAGGGCAAGAGAAGTGGTACTGTGCAGAGTCCATACATACAGAATAGGAACAGATACTGAGAATGACACCCGGCATACAGGGCAAGAGAAGTGGTACTGTGCAGAGTCCATACATACAGAATAGGAACAGATACTGAGAATGACACCCGGCATACAGGGCAAGAGAAGTGGTACTGTGCAGAGTCCATACATACAGAATAGGAACAGATACTGAGAATGACACCCGGCATACAGGGCAAGAGAAGTGGTACTGTGCAGAGTCCATACATACAGAATAGGAACAGATACTGAGAATGACACCCGGCATACAGGGCAAGAGAAGTGGTACTGTGCAGAGTCCATACATACAGAATAGGAACAGATACTGAGAATGACACCCGGCATACAGGGCAAGAGAAGTGGTACTGTGCAGAGTCCATACATACAGAATAGGAACAGATACTGAGAATGACACCCGGCATACAGGGCAAGAGAAGTGGTACTGTGCAGAGTCCATACATACAGAATAGGAACAGATACTGAGAATGACACCCGGCATACAGGGCAAGAGAAGTGGTACTGTGCAGAGTCCATACATACAGAATAGGAACAGATACTGAGAATGACACCCGGCATACAGGGCAAGAGAAGTGGTACTGTGCAGAGTCCATACATACAGAATAGGAACAGATACTGAGAATGACACCCGGCATACAGGGCAAGAGAAGTGGTACTGTGCAGAGTCCATACATACAGAATAGGAACAGATACTGAGAATGACACCCGGCATACAGGGCAAGAGAAGTGGTACTGTGCAGAGTCCATACATACAGAATAGGAACAGATACTGAGAATGACACCCGGCATACAGGACAAGAGAAGTGGTACTGTGCACTATAATTAGCTCATCTATAAAGTTAGCTGTCAGAAGAACATTATTGATTATTAGATGAAGAGCCAATAAAAATCAGCCTTCTGTTGAGCCCTCGGCACCTGCAGCCAAACACTGATTTAATTTCTGCGTGCTCGCTGCGCTCACCCCCACGGCCCCGATACCGCGGATTGGGCAACAAATGGTTGGAAAACCGCGAGTCAGAGATCAGAAGAGGCTGTTTTGTAACAGACAAAATTCACACGCTGAGTCTGGGGGTTACAGAGCCGGGAGGAAGCAGATGTTTGGTGAGTTCTTTATTTCTGTATTTTTAGCCCCCTCCCCCCCCCCCTTCCCCCATTTCA